AAGGCCTAAGGTCATTTTTAAAGTATGAATCTTACAAATCCAAAGAATCCTGACTTGAATCTAAACTGTACCACCCACTGGTTATCACCAGCAGTCATGGCCAAAACAGCACAGAGTCAGCAATTATTGCCATTTTGTTCAGCTGTCATACTGAGATCAGATCCAAGGAATAAATATTGACTGAGACCACTTTTCCAGGAGACTGTAGCACTAACTCCCAATTCACAGTTTGCCTTTCTACTCATCAGCCACTTTCAAGAATTCTATTTGTACCCATTTTCAATATTAAATCAAGTTATAAAAAGCTATGTTGCAGAATACCTGTCTCATCACTGACCTCAGACAGCTAAATCATGGATTTGCCATCTCCATCACTCTGTTGCTGTCCAACTGCTACTTCGATTTCTAGCTGCTTGCTCTGATGTAAAGTACGCAATCCAAAGTTATTTTTACTTCTGTGGTGGATTTAACTAGACCGCAAGCTCTCTCAGGAAAACATTCTTCAGTGTAGAAACTAGGACTGTTTCTCCTTTCTCCTGCAACATTTCATTCCACCAAAGCTCCTAACGACAAACCACTCAAATGGTTTGTCTGAATCTACTGCACTGAGCAGTGGATTATTTAGGGATCTACAACTGCCTCTTCTCCTGTGCCTACAACATTAAAAGTGTTTCAGATCTCATATGCACTCTAATAAGTGTAACCTGAGGATCTTGCCATAATGACTTTGTCATTTCTGTAAACAAACAATGACATTTCATCTTTCCTTACAACCTACAAGCACCACTTGTCTTCTGCATAGTCTGCATAGGCCTGTTTAGTCTCTAAAGGTCAATAATCATCTCAGATCACTCTTTTCTCCAGTTGGTGGTTCTTTCTTTCCTTGGTTTAATAAAAAAAAAACACGATATGTTCACTGTTCCAGCCCTCCCTCTTCCTGTTCCACCTAACCACGCTTCTCTCTGTTCTTACTTTGCCTCTCTGCCAGTGCCCAATGACCCTTGATTCTTCCATACATATATTTATCCTAGCATTATATCTGTCTTTTAAAGGCATTATCTAGAAGATGTAAGAGATGTGTCAATATAACATAATGACTTCTTTTTCATAGGAAGCATTTTCTAGGTCAGTGTTTCCTACACTTTTACTATCTACAAGCAATACTTTGCACTTTTATATAAACTTGTCAACTGCCAGGTGTTTGCCTGTCTTGAATTTTATCAAAATCGTTTAGAATTTAATTTGCTTCTGTACAGTGTTTGCTAATTCTCCTAATTTTATACCATCTGCATCATAAACTTCACCAGATCACAAACTATTCTGGAATCTAGATCATTTATATTAATTAAGAAAGACAGTGGTTCTAGTACAGATCCCTGAAGTACTACACTAATTATATCAGCCCAATTTCAGTACTGTACCCTCTGCTTTCTATTTAATAACTAATTCTCAATCCAAACACTCACATGCCCTTGAATACCTACCATCTTTCAACTGAGAATTATTTTTTTATAAGGAACATCATCAAAAGCCTTCTGAAAATTTAGTGTGTGTATCCACTACTGTTATTAGGTATTCAAAGAAATCTAACCAGTTGGTAAGACAAGACTTACCTTTTCCAGATCCATGTTGACTATACCCTAGGACAGCGGTTCTCAAACTTTTTGGACCAAAGCATCCAAGTACCACCTACAAGTCATCATCTCATAGGAACCCCAGAAATTCTCAATGACCAACATGAGCGCATGTGCACACATACATATAATAAATATTATAATAATAAACTTTGTTTGATATAAAAAAATGTGGCTTCTCAAAGTGTTTTACAGAAAAAAAACAATAACAAATAAAAATAAAAAAGCACCATTTCAGCGAGAGGGGTGAGCCTATTTAGTCGAGCAAAGCAGATGTGAATTAATTTTTCGAGCCTTGATACAATTCACAACAGTCTAACAGATTTTAAATCTTCAGGCATTTTCTTGACAGCAAAGGTCTCGTGGTGAATGTTGCAATGAAACCATTAATTTCTGAAGCAACCTCTCTAATTCGTGCAACTACACCGCTGTGTCGGCTTGTCATTGCTCTAGCACCGTCTGTACAAACTCAGACACATTTTATCCAGTCGATGCCATTCTCTTCGATAAATTCATTCAGAAGCTGAAATACGTGCTCTCCTGTAGTCCCTGTTGGTAGCGGCTTACAGAACAGAAAGTCCTCACGGGATGTACCCTCAAACTCGTATCTAACATAAACGAGCAAATTGGCCAAATCGACTACAGACTCATCTAATTGCAGTGAAAAACATCTGCTCATCTTAATGCGCTCTGTCAGCGTACTTTTGATATAATCCTTCATTTCAATAATTCTATGAATGACTGTGTCTTTCAGGGGGGGCAGCAGGTCGAGCTGTTCAGCAGCTTTTTCTGCTTTAGCAATCCGCAAGCTTGCATTTTTCCACGTTTCCGTTTTTATTTCAGTGTTTATTTTAAGTTTTTATTTAATGCGCATGGGAGAGAAACACAGAGACGCTCTGTGTATTTTTCTCAAATTAACTTAGAACAGTCCTTAAATATTTTTCTGTTATTTTTCACGCTTTCCTGTGTTTTGGCGTACCAACTGGCGGCACGCCGCGTACCACTGCAGGTACGCGTACCACAGTTTGAGAACCACTGCCCTAGGATATTATTTCCATATACTTGATCAATTTATTTTGTTCTTATAATCAGATCCATTACTTTATGTAATCGTGGTAATTAAGGTCAGATTAATTGCAAATACTTGGTTCAGTTTTTTCATTTCGTACATCAGCCATTTCTCTTTCATTGGCTAGAAGTTCACAATTTTAACTCCAGATCCTTAATGGTTCTTTTGTTGTCTTGGTCAAAGAACTTTCTACTGTTTATTTTAGTCTCCATTGCAATATTCGTTTCAATTTCTCTCCTGGTCTAATACCCCTTTATACCTGTACATTATTTAACTGTATACTCTTGTTTTTAATCATTTTGCAAAGTGCTCTCTTTTTCCTTAGATTTTTCCCAAACAGATTTTTAAAAGCATTTGGAAATGGGATTTCCCTAAAGTTGAAGCACTAGGGAAAGCATTTTTTTAGCTTTTGACTTTCTCAATCATGGGATAAAAGTGGTCTGTGTGTTGAGTAGAATCTGTTTAAACTGTTGCCATCCTTTTTCCACTGAGTACATATCTATGCCATTGTAATTTACTTACTTAGCTTAAGCTGTGTCGCATTCCTACAATGTCTTTGCTTTGTAGAAATGGTACAGTTTTGCTTTGGACTCAATATCTATAGTTTCAGAATACACTTCCACTTCCACACCATATCATGATCACAGTTCCCTAACTTAGACAATCTGTCTTTTTTTGCCATTTAGAGGTTATCATTGCTTAAGTGTTAAGTGCAGCAGCTTTAATTAACTTTCTGCATTGACGTACAAAGAAAGCCTATCTGGACCCTTGGGTGTTTCAATTGATTCTCACAGCTCAGAGTTGTCTCTTAAGTTTATAAAGATAATGCCAGCCATTTCAGAATCATCAGAAAAACTGTCTCATACCCCTTACAGTTACCATGACTTGTTGCATTTCAAACACTGATTCTGAAGTCCGATTTACAGCGTAACAGATTCTGAATGAGGCAGGTCAATGCCTGACCTGTTTGGCGTTTTGACCTGAGTGGATCAGACCACCTATACAGTCATTCCTTACACCAAATGTGGCAAGAATATTACATAGTGTTTTGCGAAAGTACTCAACCCTTGCTACCACATTTTACTGATTTTGCGACATTGTGCAATTTCGTGATCATTATGACATTATGCATTCAAATACTTCTTTTTAGAATCAATGCAACTTATCCAAAACAAAGTTAAATATGCTGAGACTATGAAAACAAACCTGATTTTCAAAGAAAATTGTAACATTTCTTAATTGTATAAGTATTCAAACCCCTTTGCTCTGCCAAATCCTTATCAGTTCCAGTGCCTTCCATTTGAAAGGTCACATATTTAGATGCATTTAAGTTTCCTCAATTAGATACTGAATTTAAATCCATAAGCCCCATTGTCATAAATCAGGAATTAAGTGGCACTGAAGAACTGATCAGGAGAAGATTTCAAAGTCACTGATTATCCTTTTGATTATGGCAAAGTTCATCATTGAAAAATAGACTTGTAAAGACTACCCAGGTACTATCCATATGGAGCTGTCTATCCAAACTGAGCAACCAAGCAAGCAGAAATCTAGTTAGGGATTCCTCTGTGAAGCCACTGGTAACTTTGGAAGCTGTAATAGGTTCCATGTCTGAGGTGGGAGTAAATGATCTTCATTGACAATATCCCAGTTTGACACTGCATTGCCGTGTCAAACTGATAATAGCCAGTCTCTTCCGAAATGGAGCACATAACAAAACTTCAGTGCAATGACATGCCCAGAGTCCTCCAAACTTCAGCTGAACTGCATAAATATGGGTCCTTAGACACTGTTCAATGCTCATAACATGAACACCCCTTCATCATTACCCACTTTCCAGTGCCACTGCAGCTCTACCAACATATCTAACAGATACAAATGAAGCCGTGGAGTATCCTATGCCTTTAATACTGTGCAACAATGTCAAATGAGGTAACAGGGTCTTTACCGATCTTGCCCATCACACACCTCAGCTTTTAAAAGCATGAAGTGAAAGCCTGGCATGGGGACAAGAGAAAGCTGCAGTTCTCACTAGGAGCCATCACTTACCTCTGAATGCAAACTGTGCACTGGCCATGCGACCAGCTGGCTCCTGCACAGTCAGTCCATTACTCATGAAGAGCCTATGACAACACCAGGAGCAGTAAACCTGATTCCGCTAAGTCCATTTAATGACGGATCAAGGTCCAGGAAGAGGACAACAATCTGATTATCTCCTCCACCCAGCAAAGAGACAACTTTTCAATAACCAGTTACATGGTGTATATTTACATGTTAATCTTATGCTCTTAACTTACTTTTGGCACAGCTGGTTGAAAAGTATTTTTGGAGAAACTGGTCCCTTTCCTGGTTCCTTCATGCAGTTCAGGAACAAGAACATGGCAGACGTCAAAGGCTCTGGACTGGGGAGGGTCACCACCAATGGGTCCTATGCAAAAATCAACCATTACATTTACGAGTTATACTGAGAATAATGCAATGTTTTCCAAGAGAAATTAACCAAATGTTATGAGGCCGGTTCTACTTTGTGTATCAAACACTACCTGCATCTTTGGACAAAAAGCATTCAACCATCTAAATGAAATAAAAATAATGATTTGCAATATTAATAAAATTATACCTACTTATACAAAAGTGCCTTATACACTTATACCACTGTAGTGTAGCATACACCTGTTTTACATTATGCATCACAGCTCATCAAACGGGAAAGTGAGAAAGAGCTTCTTCATCTTTTAAATTGAACGTGAACTTTAGGACGTTCAGACTGCACATGCCCATAATAAAATCGAGGCATGACATCGGGGTTAACAGAATAATATAATAACTATGTAGTTGGGACTAAACTGATTTATCAACTTCTTCAAAGGAGGAGTCTCAGGTGTCTCAGGTTACAAGGTAATTTAACAGTACCCTCAAGTTACAGTTTATGAGGTGTTTTTCAGCAATATCTTCCCATGCAACTCTGATTTCACTAGATAAACACTGGCTGCTGTTATTTGCAAAATATAAAAATAATTGGTGCAACGCTATAACAAAAGCATTAAGTATTATGAATAAATGGTGTATTTGCACAGGATGTTTATATTGGGACATCATTTACATCTTCTAGACTATATGGAGAAGTAATTAAAAGGGAAAACAAAATGCTAAGAGAATTTAAATCAAGTAGTGGTACATTAATCTTTGCCAATAAATTATTTTATAGCAATTGCTAAAAAATAAAAAAAGTCACAATATAACAATGCATTCTTGTAGAAAAATACTGTAACATTGAATTCGTAAGTGCATAAACTCCATATTAATAACTAATCATTATGAAATACACAATTTCTTTCGGAAGAAAAGTAACACTCATGACTTGAATGATAATTTCAACAATTTATTCTTGAAATGGTTGGTCAGTTCTGAGCGTCAGCGAGGCTCACTGGCTCAAACAACTCCTGGCATCTTTGTTATTAATATACTGCCGCTCTCCCTTCCTTCAGGTGACATGCATTTCACCCCTGTGACTTGATACTGTCTCATCAACACTGCCATCTCTTTAACAGGCTGACGTTGTGCAGGGCTTCCAAACATGTGCGAGCCCACAAATCAATCAAGCACATGCGTAACAGCGGTCAGCTATTCTACTGCGACCGGCGGGGAAAGGCGTATCTGGAGAGCACATACAGTAGCTACGAGCTTGCATGTGAAAAGACAGCAAATGCTATGTGGACAGCTGGAGTCGAATACCCTCCCACGACGACACAGAGGGTGTGAAATCAAATGCTGACTAAATAAAATCAAATGATTTTTAAGATACCAACTATGTTTAAATTTGGTAATGTCATTTTTATACACCCCAGATTACATGAGAACATAGACAAGAGGAGGCATTCAGCCTGTTATATAGCCATATAGCCTGTTCGGTAGTTAGTTGTTAATTGATCCCAGGATCTCATCCAGAGTTTTCTTGAAAGAAGTCGGAGTATCAGCTTCAACATCAAGACGGGGTAACTTGCTAGAATTTCATTTTTTTATACTTGGGACGTTTAACTGTTCCTCATTTCAAACTGGCAAGAAGTATAAAAAAGGAAAATAGTGACTCCCTTTTTCTCCCAGGGCTGCTCACCTTCAACTGTGCTTCACTTTTTTACTACCTGTTTTACTACCATCTTGTGTTTTTATTTATAGTTTTACCCTTGACTTCACACAGAAAAGAAAGAAAATCCACCATTTTTTCCCCAATTATTTTCTGGGGTGCTCCTCACCCCGAAGACCTCTGTCTCACCCCTCCTCTCCCCACCTGGGTATAAATACCCAGAATGTAACCAGGTATGACTTTAAAAACAACATTCACTTCATCTAAACTTGTATAATACTCATTACCAAATCTAAAATATTACAGCAATAAAGATGTTTTAAAAATCACAACAAAAGCTATGAATTCGCTTTGATATGTTAATATGTAAGCCTTGAAAGACATAATAATAATCTTAATCTTTTGTACTCTTATTTACAGTACCTGTCACCATGTATCATCTCAAGGCAGTTGACAATAACAAAAAAACAGAATTAAGTGCTAGAGTATAATAACAGTGAGTTGGAAAAAAGGTTGGAAAGTTTTGGAACGGTTAATTGACCTGTAAGCTCTAATATGGACTGAGACATCATTGCTTATTTCTGGACCATTACCCAATTTTACATACCAAGTTTGTTTCCATAAGTGGACAAATCTTCAGCTTTGATCCTTTTTCCTTCATCTCCGAGACCAAATCATTCAGCATGTGTGTCTGAGACAAATTCTTCAAAAAAAAAATATCAGAAAAAAGTGCAGTAATTAGCATTTAGACTGCTAAAGTGCCAAGGCCATATCTGCAAAAACACAAATGTCTTTAAAATACTTGCAATAAATTACATTTTTAATAAAACCTTTTGAGGCTTAACAGAATGTTTTAATGTCACCTTTAAATCAATAGAAATGAAACTATGGACAGATCTGTGGATGTATTACATTTTAACAACACAATTGCACTGTGAATGTGTATAAGCAATATTTCCCAGAAAACTATTTTTTCAACTCCGTACATGTCTGTCGTAAATGAACATTCATCATTTTAAGACAAAAATGTGGACTTAGAAAACATTCAGCAAGAGCCTCTTTGTAATACAGAGCAAGGCCATGCTTTATAACTTAAAGCTGTACAGACAGCAAATAATTCTAAAACACAACCTATGAGGGAGCCCTGACCAGTACAGGTCATAATTTCCAAGGACAGCTGGTGTTCAGTAAATTGTTATGATTTTATTGAAAGGGTAACTTAAAAGAAGAAAAAAATAACAGGCATGATTCTATTACAGACTCATTTCAATGACATTCTAGTGTGTGAAATGAAGCAATGCAGCTATTCAGTGACTCTAATGCTGTCAATGCCCCCTACCTTCTTCCCTCTCTCTGTTCCTCCTAACACGTCTAAGAAAATAACTACTGAGAAAAGACACGACAAAGGTGCAACAAAATATGAAGCCCTTGTACACTATAACAAAGCTGGAAGTCAAATCTGAATCTTAAATATTTGCTACACAAATCACTTATAACTCACACATTTTAATTGTGTAGTTCAGGTGGGTAGCTGCGTCAGCATGCATAGGCTGCAAAGGAACAAGTAATAGGTTTATTCCATGCTGAAAAGAGAAGAAAGAAAACAACGTTTCGGCTGTGGAGCCTTGAAGCTAATAATAAACCTATTACTTGTTCCTTTAAATTCTGTATGCTACTTTATTTGTCCTGAACAAATACACTGCAAAAAATAAACTGTTGTTTACATCCATCACATAGGTAGATTTAGTGTACGTTTTGGGAATTGGGAAGAATCTCTATACTTTATAGAAGAATAGTTTTCCAAATCTCTTTATCAGTACTATGAATATGGCAGATTTTGTACTTAACTGATTTGTTTGGTAAACATGACTGAAAACATTATTTTACCACTTTCATTGTGTTAATGTCTTAATATCTTCACTGACATTATTACCTTACACTATTCTCTTTCCTTTATGTGTAGTGGGGATGCTATTACAGATTGAAGGAAATGAATCTGCTTCAGGCAGAACAAAGCAGAATACAAGTGCTAGAGGACTTGATAACAGGTAAACACAGTGAAAGGTACAAACAATGACAAAACATGGGACACCCTGTAACCAACAAAGACCCAAAAAGTTTAAATTAAATTATACCGTTCCATAAAAGAATGGTTATCTAAAATTTGCCTCATATTTAAAAAAGTCATGTGCATTTCTTCAACCAGTTATCCATTTAACTATGTGTTTCATTTTTAACATCATGCAATACCTTAGGGTGCAGACATGCCAGAAGTTTGTCAAAGACTGTGCTGAAATGACTAATAATTACTAGGTAAATAACTGTTTAGGATTCGGAGATACAAAGCAGCTGCTCCCGTTTTTAATCACAGTGCTGTCTAACTGCAACAACTGAATAACAGTTTTTTTTTTCCTATGGAATAAAAGGTAAAAAGAGCAGATGCTTGCAAACAAGTGCTAGAGATGTGACAAAAAGAGTCTGCCCATTGAAAAAAGAGATCAAGGATGTGGATGGGTTTCCAGTTCGTTATTTCCATTGTTGGTAGTACTGTACAGCCCTTCAGGCTGCTGCTGTGCTTGACACTACCCAGCACTGTTTCAGAAGGCCTCCTACCAGAGGAGCGGTGCTGACGGGTGAGAAGGCTGTTGCTATGGGCTGCCATAGCCTTGTGACTTCTCTGCAAGTTTCCTGCAAGCATATGTAGGATGGAGGCGGAAAAACACCTGTGTCTGTATGATTTTACCTGAAAAATCTAGCAGTTCTTAGTGATACAGTATGATTAGGGGATGCACACACTGGCACCAAAAATGGTAACTACTTCACCATATTTCTAAAATGTTCGAATTGACCCAACTGTCCAAAATGACTAAACTTGTCCAAACAATGTTTTTTATAATGAATGAGGCATTGTCACACATGTGACTTGGCACATTATATAGATCATTGTGGATCTACCTGCAAAACATTTCTAAAAAGCTTATCCTAGGCTGTACAGGAATATCTTACCTGCATCACTGCATTAAAAAAGCATGTATTTCCTAAATTGTTTATGCCTTTAACTGGCACAAAGGTGCTGTTGACTGGATTCTTCCCTTTTAGGAGATCAGTACCTTCAGTGGTTTCTTCTCGAATTTTTATTATTTTTGATGTTGTTCCTAAAATAAAACAAATTATTGGTAAGCAGAAATAATGTATGCCCTCTAGTCTACAAAAACACACTTTACAAGCATTTTATCAATATCAGTTTCAATTTTCTAAAACCAGCTTCGCTACTTTTTAGTAATAAACTCCAGATATTTGCAAACAACATACCTATTAGGCAACACACCTACTGTATTTTAAGAAACATCAGCCTAATGATTCCTGACACTAGAAATGTGAGTTATACACTTTCTGTGATAGACAGTGACAAAAACCTGCATAACTAACTGAATTTACAAACAACCTAGATTAAATTACTACTGTATGTACCCAAAATGCCTGTTTTGAAATGAAGCAAGGTCCTGGAATAATGCATTCACATAAAATAACTTTTATGGAAATTATTTAGCAGTTGAAAACTAACATCTAGAGCAAAGAGGGAATAGTCATCATGTCATGTCATTTGCTAAATCGCTTTATACCATACGGTGTCGCGGGAAGCCGCAGCCTACCCAGCAAGCAACGAGCGCAAGGCAGGGTACACCCTGGATGGGGCGCCAGTCCATTGCAGGGCAAGTGCAACCCAATCAGACATGGGGACAGTTTGGAAGGGGGGAAATCTGTCCCGGACACCAGGATAACTCACTCCTCTTATCGAGAACTGCCCGAGGATCTTTAATGACCACTGAGAGTCAAGACCTCGGTTTAATGTCTCATCCGAAAGACGGTGCCCACTACAGTAAAGTGTCCCCGCCACTATACTGGGGTATTAGGACACACACAGACTGCAGGGTGGGCGCCCCCAGCTGGTCACACTAACAACACTTCCAGCAGCAACCATAGCTTGTCTTGTTTTGCAAGACCGTACCCCAATTCTCTCATTACGGCTAGATAAGCATGTGCCGGTTCAAATCCTGCGGCCAAGTACAGCATCCATTTGTCATATTCTCATCTGACAAGCAAGTAGTTACACAAAAACAAAACTTAAGGCTACGCTTCATTCTGCTGGAACGCTGCCATGTTATAATGAGCTCACAGGAAGGGCAGTAAGAGAAGTCCAAGGACTTGAACCATTTAGGGTCAAGCAAGCAGGTTGCCACCCACTGCAACAAGCAGTGTTCTGTATTGACTGAACATTTCTGCCCAGGCCTTCATGCCTGGGTCTTGCACCTCAGCATTGAGCTCGGTAAGATATCGAAACTTGTGGCTTCCCACATTGTGACTTATCATTGGTGGACTGTGTTGGGCAAAAATGTTATGACAGGTCAGAAAGTGTGATCACTTGACAGTCAATGACTTGGTCTACCCTCCAACATACCAATGGCACAATGACATTGTTCTCTTGCTAAGCAGGAATTTTTCTCACTATTGACGTGATTTAGTAGTTAAGCAACGGTTAGTCACTTCGCGTTTATCACCATCAGCTATGAATGATCAATTAATCAAATGATGCCAAAAAATGTTTACAGCATATCCAAAATATGAATACTTGAAATATATGAACACATGTTTGTTTATCCTTACGGATGTCTCAAAACACCATGAACCATCGTTTAAAATGCAAAACGGCTTTGACTCTGGAGAATTCGATACTGGAAGGCTAAGCCGTATGTGTATGGACATGTTCAGAAACAATAAAGACAATCTGCATTGTTGCAATGTAACTAGGTTAAACAGTTTACACAGCATCTGGATGGAAGTACTGTCATCTGGGATTCCAGATGACAGCTGGCATATCTTTTCACACATTCAAATTCTACTGCATTGGACCCAGCTGTTAAAACGTACAGATATGCAAATAAGACTTGTTTCTAATTATATGATAAACTATATGTGAATAGACTTGAGACTTTTCACAACCTTATTTTTAAAGGACAGGTGCATTATAAAGTAACAGAAACAGGCCATGGCATCAGTAATATTTAATTCAACTTCTGCTCTTAATGGAACAGTTTGTTAGTATTTGGTAAAAGGTCTAGACCTAGAAAACCAGCCAAATTCCAAAGGACAGGCATCATCCATTTATCATTCGACAGTTTCATGCCTTTATTTTGATTTTTAGGTCATATATGCAAATCATAGAAGAAATAAATAACTTTTCTTTAAAAAATCATCATGTCCAATGTGTCCATTTATACACATACAGTATGTTGATTACACCTACACCATTTTATTACAAAAATGGTCTGGGATGCCTACAATCTGAAGTCTTTTAAATTGGAATTGATTCTATGGTCTGATTTTTTAAAACGTCTTTCACATAGATATTAAATAATTTGATATTGTACACTTAATGTCCATAATAGCAATGAAATAACAAACAGGAATGTTATTGAGTTAAAACAGTACTATTGAGTTAAAACAGTACTTAGGAAGTCTAAATATAAAACAAAATTCACCAACTTTTAAAATCAAGTTTTATAAATGGAACACGGAAAAAGGAAAATATGAAAATTGTTTGTTTGATTAGCTTTCTGTTTTGATTTGGAAAACCACTACAGTACCAATTACAACTAATCTGCTAAGCAATGTGGACTCAAGTGCTTACTCTCCATTTCAGACTACAGTCCTCCTCATATGCAGAAAATAATTTTAAAGCATAACACAGGAAAAGGATTCATAAACTAAATTCATTAGGAAAAACATTCCAACCAGAAAATGGCATACCCAGAAAGACGCCAGTTTAATTTAAATCGAATCAAAAGCATTCCTTCTATAAATTTCCTATTAAAGTGTAACATTTCCAAAGAAGGAAAATACATAAATGGGTTAAAGTGAAAGGACTAGCAAAACCCAGCAAAATATTTTAAATTAAATGACAAAATTCTATCAGTCTTAGCTACTATTTTTATAACATAACCTGTAAATACACATATAATATATTACATTTATTAGGGGACCGAGGCATACATAAATGGCACAATGAAAAATAAAGTTCTAAACATTTTGTTTCATACTCACAAAACACTAGCTAGACACACACTATGACAAAAAACACTGGACTATTACTATATCATTCTGTCAGAAACAGGTTAGTGTATTAATTTTTAATGTCATAGAGACAAGTTACTCCATAAGTGATTATTTTAATTTTCTAATCATTTGTAACACAAACAATAACAGGCACAATGTGGAGACAACAAATATTAACAGTACTGGCTGCAAAGCACAGCACAGTGACCTCAAAATTCCTCTAATTATATCTAGCAAGGTGGCACCATGTTAAAATAAAAAATAGGTACCATTATTCATCCAAGAGAAAACAATGGAAAAACAATGATAACATTGTTATATTTTATCACTCACAAAATGACTGTGTGAAAAATATAGCTTACAATTTAACACCCCACAGAAAAGTTAATTATGACGAACTTTAATGTAACCAGATAGTTAAACAACAAAGTAACTCTCGCTTGTAAAGAAAATCCATTTTCTATGAATTCGGTATGTGACCTTGACCTGGGTGATGCAATCTATAAAAATCAAATGTGAGCACACAAACATTCCACGCAATTTCATACACTGGGATTTATCTTATTAAAAATAAAGCTATAATAAGGCTACACTTCATCTAAAACAAAGTAGTTAAAAAAAGTGGAGGGAAAGGGGTTTACATTATGTTACTTGTTCTTGGGAAAACAAAATAATCTAAATATGAATGCCTATGGATAAATACTACATCTGGGACAGCAACTTAAGGTAAACAATGTTCACAGGGCCATCTGGCCAGAACTGCAGGCAAAAAGTAAACCAGAAGCATATGGAAAAGCAGATTTTTCTCTCCCCTCCAGCAGTATGGGATGGCAAATGTCAGGATGAGATCTGTCCACGCTTCACTGTGCTGTGCTTTGCAGCACCACCTGGTTCTCCTTGCTCAGCCACCAAATATGGACAACACTGACACTGTGGACCTTATCTCCAGGGCAAACAAAGTGAGCATGCTTCTCCTCCTTTCTGAACACATATTTCACACTAGCACTACACAACCGGGAGGTCAAAGTCCCATCCACAACTAAAAGGTATACAAGCACCAACCTAAGATCATCAGAACCAGTTGAAAATATATTGAAAGACTTCTTTTATATTTCCATATGAGAAAATGAGCCATTAAACAAAGTAACATGGCAGATGTAGTGTAAAACCAAGACTATGCAAGGCACAAAAAACTCAAAAGAAACAAATGCAGCCTTTGGATCCATCACAGATTTTGCTGTTAACTGTTTGTTTTAATGTTAAATACATTTAAATCTCCTCACAAATGAAGTAGCTATACATTATACTGTACTGTATATATGATATCACACAAATCTGCACAGATTCCGTACTATTCAGTCTGTCAAAATTAAAGAATAATAGTTCTATCTAAATAATAATAAAGTGCTACAATTGTAAATAGTTTTGAATTAAACAAATGTGCCAAGGATTTTTTATTAAACAGTTAGCATGCTGTCATGAAGCAAAGCTAGCAGCTCCAAATGCCCTATTAATTTGTTGTCACTGGAGGGCATCAATCCTTCAGCTTTCAACATCTGAGGCTTTAAGACCCATCAGAAAAATAACCCCCAAAACAGTAGTTAAACAAATGTACGCATTTAACAATATTACTGCGTTCAGAATTCTCCAGGAAAAATAAAGTTATTTGGTAACTGTGTGTACTCAAAAAATATGACAAGTGCCACTATATTCTTTCTCTGGGTGAAAAGGGCAAACTGATTTACTACATTTCTCGCCCATTCGTTTTTTTTTCATTTACTGGTATTTTATTGAAAAATATTTTAAGTACATTTTAAATGTACATGTTAAGAGAACTTAATTCCACATGTTTTTGGTGGGGGGCAAATAATGTCTTTTTTTTTTTTGGACTGGCACTAAGCCACTTGTGTTGATAATCACTTTAAACCAAACAGCACTGAAAAAGATGACAACTTTTGTCTTTTAGAAAAAGACAGCTCTACAAAGGGCTGCAAAGGGCTTCTATGATGCAGTTACTGCATGAAATCAGAAGCTATCCTTT